GCAAGAAAAAAAACAATTAATGGCTATTTAACATGTTTAAAGCGTGTTTTAATGCATATGTTAATAAAGGACTTTTTGAAAGTAATTGCTTTATCTCATAGATTTGTGAAACTATTTATTGAGGTTTGTTATTATTCGTCTTCTCCTCTCATCTCTTGTGCCTCTATAGACATAATTTCTCTGAAGACATGCTCAGTTGCTTGTGGAATGCAATTTTGTTCTTTTCTTCCCTCGGCCTGTCCTCCAATCACTCAGCTTGTCCACCCCTCACTCTATGGCACATTCAATTGCCTTGATGTTTTTCTTCTGCTTCCTCTTCTTTTTGTATGGTGAGTGTCTTGTAATTGACAGAGGACCCCATCTCATGTAAGCATTCACCGCTTGTCATTCTACAACATGTTTTTTATATTAGTGCCACAATGGGGCCATTTGATCCTAGGTTATGGTATGTGATTGTCAGTAATGTGACTACTTGGTGGCTGCCTTTGTTTGAACCAAAGTGGTGGCCTGACCTCAGCCCATTCAGTGCGGTGACCAAGTTACGCAGGCCTCTGTATCCTTTACTTTTCCCTATCTCCTTTATGGAGACGAGTTTAGTTCAATTCACTGTCACAGATATTACCTCTTTAACAGCCTCATCCTCTTGCTCTCTGTTTCTATAGAAATCATGGTTTACAGACTTCACTACTAAAGTTTTGCATGCTTTACCAACAGATAATCTCTTTTGCAACAATAGGAGTTTGGTATAAGTAAAATGAGTGCATAAGCTGTTTAAAACATCAAGAAGTAAATAGAAATCAAAGAAATATCAATAAGATATTTTGTCAATGAATTTATTGCTTTAGGTACTAAACTAATGTTCAAAAGTTTGAGACTTTTTAATGTTTTAAATTAAGGATCTTATGCTCACCAAGGCTGCATTCATTTAACTAAAAATACAGTAAAACCAGTAATATTGTTAAATATTATTACCATTTAAAATAAAATTCATTCCTCCTGGGAGGGCAAATCTGAACAAGCAGACATTACTTCAGTCTGATGTGGAGCTCAAGAAACGTTTCTTATTATCATCAATGTTGAAAGCATTTGTGTTGTGTATCTGCGGAAACTGTAATACATTTTTCAGGATTCTTTGATGAATTTATTTTATTTTAAATCTAGTTTTTGTAACCTTCTAAATATCTTTACTGTCACTTTTGATCAGTTTAATGCATCCTTGCAGAATAAAAGTACTAATTTCTTTCAAAACCTTTGAAAACAGTATGGTTTCCTCAAAAATTAAAATTCTGTCATTCATTTTTTCATTCTAATGTCATTCCAAATGATTTGTAAGTCTCAGGTGCGATAATGCAAAACAGAACAACAAGATTTAAGTCATATTAATGGAAAAGCTCTGTTTGGTACATTCATAAGATATGTTTAATTCAATTTGAATCAGTCTTTTGAGTTGGATCTTTTCAGTGAATCACTGATCCTGTTAAAAACATTCCTAGTGATTCATTCACAACTTGGACTGATCCGGTTCTTGAGTTGAAGTCACTGACTCAATGATCCAGTCACAGCAATTCTCAAGTTATCAGCTCACTGGAGGGGAAGATTATCAGTTAATAATGACTTACATTTGTGTGTTTCTCATACAAAGCTATTGTATGACTTGGAATATGGTGCATTAGTCATACAGACTCCTATAATGGTGCTTTTCCCCTTTAGAGGCTCGACAGATAAAAGATTCTTCAAATAAAATGTATTAATGAATAATTACATAATTTACATATTTGTGCGAACAGTTCATGTAGATGAAATATGTTGTTCTTCAATTTATTAACCTCTGAAATTCAGGTATCTGAATAACTGTGTCCCAGATACTGGAAGTTCAAAAAAAAAATCATTTATGGTTGGCTTTCCAGCTGAATTGTCATGACTGAAAGGAGATGAAGAAGGAGGGGGAATCTTCCCTTTTGATCTTTTTAGAGGGGTGCAGGGTGCTCTGTGTGGCTGGCAAACACATTTAGCCTGTAATTGTTCAGATCATTCAGACAATCAGCCTTAGAAATGCATGGGCAAACAAAAGATTACAGCTCCAATTGGAAAAGTCAACAGTTCCTCCATATGTCCCATATACAAACAGTCAAACTGTCATGTCCCATCTTCTCTTTGAACAATGTTTGCATGTCATTTATAACTTAGTGATTGGCTGCTGGCTTGTGCGCTCTAGGAATACAGTCAATATAGTGTTGCTATTTTTGTGACATGAACTTAAATTTCCATCTCATGCATTGTTGCTTTGATAAAACCATACTGCTTCTCTCTTTTCTGTGAATCAGTGTGTAAATTATTCAGCAATAAGAACTACAATAAGTTCAGACTTTTAGTATAGACTTTTAATGGCTTGCTCGTTGCAAAGACTACAGATGTCGTTTGGGTGCTAGAAAGAGCACTCAAGGTGGACTTGCATTATTTCAACCCATGTTTCCTCCATTGAGCTCCAATTTGCAGGAAGGGTTTTATGACCAGGGTTAGGCAGAATGTGAAGTAAAGGCAGCTTAGAGGTCTGGGTCATCCCATTCTCTCACCCCTGCCTTTCTGCCAGTTCAGCAGGGGGGCTTGTACAAGTCTAAATTGCTCCCTAAGCAAATTAAGAAGGTAGCCCTGTTTGTTTATCAGGGGTTAAGGATGACGGTTGCAGCTCAATAAAATGGATGAAAGCAGTTTTGCGTCCCCTCTTTCTCAGTGGAATTGCTCTTCATTTGCATGGCATCACAAGCTGCACAGAAGGTGTGATTTTTCCCACAACTTGCTGGATCCCCTGGGTTTCTTACAACTTTATGGTCATGGAGACAAATTTCAGGGGAAACTGAGGCCTGATAAAGCAGAATAACTGTGACAAATTATCAAGGTCTGTTAATCAATAGTAGACGTCATCAATGTGAGTCAATTGGTGGTTCCGGTGGTTCATTTATTTGATAACACTACCACCAAACTAAAAGCTTGGGGGACATCAAACATGTGCATGAACTCTTTTTATTTGACATAAAATGTCTGGGTTTCTGGGTGTATTTTAGACCCAGTTCCTGGTCACCAACTATTATTATAATTTTTTTTTATCATCTTAATCAGATTTTTCATTCACTGCTTTGCTTACATTGTTCTGTGGTGTGAAAAATTGCAAGTAAATTTCACAAACTATTACAGCTAGTAACACATTGAAATAAACATGCCATTTTGAAGTAGGAAAAAAAATGAAATAGTATTTTCTGGTAAAACGTGCTACAATTATCTTTGAAAAATTACTTTTTATAGTGTATGTGCATGTACATATTTTAATATGGTTGTATGGTTTAATATGTTTTCCTAATCCCTTTTTAAAAATCATGAAATAAAATCTCTAAACATTTAAATTTATTTAAATTAACATTTGCCCTATAATCATAAGTCTGCCCTTCTTTGTGTGTCAGTTTTAGATTTAAAACATGTACGGTTTGTCTCCCAAGTAGTTTATTTAGAAATGTCAATAAGCTTTTTTCCTTAATTGATTGCCATCCATTGAACTGGATTACACTGTTGGTCCATCACAGCTGAATGGAACTAAACCGGCATACTAGAAAGTCAAAGAAACATTCTGAAGCTCTGGCCTTTCTAGGAGTTTGACCTCTGCACCCTGGCTGAGCTACTAGCATAACATGAGGCAGAACACATGGCGTATTGCACCATAAAAACAATGCCAGCCTTCGCTAATGTACCTGTATAACATGTTTTTCAATGATGCATGAGATGTGTCAAGCCAACACTAATTAGAGGATGATTTTTGGCTGAATGGGTTAGAATTTTATTATGCAATTAATTTGATTAAAAAGGGATCAGAAAATGTCTATTTTTCCCCCCTCTGATCGTAATTTACATAGCATTATAACTGCAGAAATGCATATCTCAGGCTGAGAGGAGTCATTAATAATCTTCCTCATCACAGACAAGAGCAAGATAGTGATCTCACACCACAAATCCCTGGTTCTCGTTTTCTCACTATATGCTGCCCTCTGGCTTTTGGCTCCTTGGAACCCTGTCCGCAAACACACAGCACCCCTGCCCGGACAAAACAGATACCCCTTCAATCAGATTAAGCTACAGGGAGTTAAAGGTCTGAGATTAAACAAAAACACCTGAGCGAGGGTGAGGAGACGGGGCCAGGGAGCCGTAGTGTGTCCGGTTCAACCAGAGGAGAGACCAAACAGTGTAGCCCCCCTGGAGAGACAGTCCTACTGAGCCGTTGACCTGAGCTGTGCCATTCCAAACATTCTGGGGGGAGAGACCCAGTATCTCAATCTCACTCTGTACTGGTCTCTAACCAGAAGGGTTATGCAAACAATGGTGGTATTTATTATGATGCTATTGCATAATGACAAGTCGTTTCATACAAAGACCGCACTGGCCTCATTTTCTATGGACGAGGCCATTGGAACGTCTAGAACGCTTCTGGAAAAGACCCTTTGGCAATTGTAACTATGTATAGATGCCTTTTATACACTTATTTCGTGTGTTATTTAAAGGGATAGTCACCCAAAAATGAAATTATGCCATTATTTATTCACCATCGTGTAATTTCAAACCTGTATCAAAAAGAAGATATTTTGAAAAATGTCTCAGAAAATTTAACATTGTCCAAATAATCAGTCAATGGATGTTTTCCACAAACATTTTTTTAAGCTGTTTTCTTGTATGTTCCACAGAACAAAGAAATTTCATTTTTTAAACAATTTTGGAAAAGTGCATATTAGAACAGAACACATTAGACAAAAGACGTCAGTATGCTAAGGTAAATTTATTACAGGTTTTTAAATAAATATTTCCATCATTAAAATTATTTTACACATCCTCAAATAAAAATATATTTATATTTGTATAAAAAAACAGACAAACACAATGCAACGAAGAACAAAAGCTTTTCCTACAGTCCGTACAATGCATTTATACACCTTGGAATTTACAGTTTAAACCACGGTAGGAAACCTGCGATAATCAAAATGTAGCTGCCACATTTAAATATGTATTTAAAGCTCTGTTTGCTTTAACCGTGTTTATCTCCAGAGAGTTCCAGAATCAAGAACCAGAGAGGTTACTGAGAGATGAGCTGGGTATCTTATCGCTGGGTGGTCGAGAGGTGCCCCGGCTGCCTGTGTAACCGAATACAGCCTTGTGGTGTCAGTGCATTCTCTCAGGCCCTTCAAGTCCCCTTGAGCAGCAATACAAAGAGTTATAAATTACTCTAAAACCATCTAAATCAAATGAAACCAAAGCAGATCAAGAGAGGATAGACAGATGAAGTCCACGTACTACTAAAATGTCAGCACTTACACGTCCCGTGCTTCGCTTTTCTATACTCTTACACAGGTCAGTACTAAAAGTCAGGGGTACAAAAATAGATCTCTTTTTTTCTCGAGATGTTTTTTTTTTTCTTCTTTTTTTGTTATTTCTGAAAATTCATAAAAAACTAAAGGTTAGGTATATTGTTGCTCAGTACAAAAAAATGTTTGTAGGAGTCCACAAGAGGAGTCTGTTCATTGTTTGAGAAAGTCTCTCGCTCTCTGTCCTCTCCTTTTCTCCGGCTTCACTCTTCAACGCTCTCCTGAGTTGCGGGTGCGTTTAGTCCGTCTGTTGAAAGGGTAGTTGATGAAATCAAAGGGTCTGTGCTCTGCGATTTGGTGTCCCTTGGGCAGCCTCTTCATGAAGTGGACTTCCCGCTGGTGTTGTCTGGTTTTGGAGCCCTTGCGGGGTCTGCCTTTGCGTGTAAAGGCCATGTACCAGCCTTCATACTTCACATTCTGCAGAGCTGTGTAGTTGTTCTCCAGGACTATCTCTGTGAAAATGCAGTCTTTCCCCTGACCGTTTCTCTGTGAGAACAAGATAAAGACAAACTTTTAGCTCCTGATTGATGGGAAATATGAAGCTTATCGAAAAGTATTTTGGAAAAGGTCTGCTCCAGTTTACATAGGGCTTCCCCACACGCACACAGCATATGCTTAAGTCATTACGATCCCAGATCAAGAGGGAGAAATGACAGCAGAAGCCAATGACTTTCCCCTTTCAGTAAACACCAGTGCGGATTCATCCTCTGAGAAAAATAGTTCTTCTACTCTTCATTATATAGGCATAAACTGTATTAAGTTGAGTCCAGAAGGTATTATGGTAATATTTTACTTTCTCCAGGACATTGAACAATATAAACACTATATGGTAAAGCTAGTTTTGCCTTTAATATAGGCATCGCATCATTGTACGTTAATAACAACAGGACCTTTAAACGTTAACCGGCCAGTAAATGCAAACGGGGTAAGGAGCCAAACCAGGAGTCCAAACCTTTCCCCAGCCTCTTAACAAAATGGCCTGTTAAAAATCTCAAATCCAAAACGCTTGCATATCAACCAATAAAAAACAACAACAGAAAAAAACCCTCTCTCATGCAGGCTGTCGTTGGGCGGCCAATATGTCAGATAGCATAAGATCAGGGGTGCCAAGCAGATGGTCCACCTGGCAGGGTGCTGGGAGGTGGGGGCCGAACCTCCATCCCACTTTATTACCATTCACAGCAAGGAGAAGGCACAAATCCACATTGGAAAAAGAGTAGCCAGCTAAAAAAGGAAGAAAGATCCCATTCTTCACACTCGATTTTACCCACTGCAACCAGGAAACGTCTGGTGTCCACTATAAGATAAAAATCTAACTCTTGTTTGATTATTTGAATGAACTCCCTAATAATGATAAAATCAGGGACATCCACAAGCAATTGAATGCTGAAACTACTACATGACTATATGACTAATGTTTCTGAATTTCTAATTTATCTTTCTCTTCTTATTCTCATTAATCAAAAACCTTTCAATCCGAACAGAAAAGTGACTGAAACATATGCTGTGTGTGTATAACAGAATATGTAAACTGAGCACTATTATCAGTGACAAAATTATTATATAATGACTTTTTCCTTATACCTTGCCAATCAGTTTCCCTCTTCTGCTCATACAGATGTAGAATCCCGTTTCAGCTCCTTTAATTCGAACTCGACTCCCAAAAGTGTCCGTCTCCACTATGAGTTTGGCTGGAAAAAGGAAAGAAGATTTTTTATTAGATGCTGTGACTTGGAAAATCTAAATTATGATCAGTCAATCAAAGGGAAAATTTCATGAGTAAACACACGTGCACATATGCACACCGGCATAAATATGTAAAATCTAAAGGGACTACTCTTTAGGATTTATGTAAGCTTAAATTCTAGTAGAACGATAAAAACATGTGCACTTCAGTTCTTCTGGAAGGAACCAAAGGCTTCCTGGCAGGACTTTCAACTTTTTACCTTTTATGTAAGTACATAAACATCATGTGAATTGTTATCACGTCATCCATGTACCAAAAAATAAACAAAGAACTTTTAAATATCTGAGTTAAATGCACCATTTAAAAATACAAATATACAATAATACTTTTAAAAATCGCTTATTTTTATTTCTTTTTTTATTCATTATTAAATGTACATTAACAGTTCAGGTGTATTATAAAAAAATCAAGGCAGTGTTTGCAGGGAAACTGACTTTCCATGATGGATATTCTCCATGCCAAGAATTAGCACTTGCAGCCATTCTGATTCAGCCCCCATACTCTGAGTGATCGTAAAGAGTTACGGTTCAAATGGAGGGGGTCAGATAACCTGCTGGTGAAGAGCCTAACCACAAGCCCAGAGCCGGAGCCAGGCACTGGCCCGAACTAACAGCCCTGCTGTCTCTACAACATGCTCAGGTGACATGGATGTCACCAAAAACCATGCAGAGCTAGAGCCAGGCTTCCAAAAATACCACAACAGAGCTGGTAATTATTGGGTTTGCATGTGGAGAAACCACATAAGTGAGAGCTACAAATAAAAGAGATCTGATTTAGGTAAAGTAACAAATTAAATATGTAAGAGAAATGTTTTTATTTTTTCATAATGTTTATCGGTATGAACTTTTTAGTGAGGAGCTTTTACAATATTTTAACTTATGATTGTATAAATTATCATATTAAACAAAAATTAATAGAACACTTAATCACTGATTTTATAAAACCAAACATACACATTAATGATCAAATTGATCAAATTGATTTAGGCTCTATGAGATCTGCCATCAGGACCGAATGACCATAGAAAGCAAAAGTGAGGGTCAGAATTCGGCTAGACATATTTTCATCCTGAGCTGGTCGGGAGAGGAGGGGAACGTTCTTCAGGAAATGTTCAGAAGGTTGAAGTAAGATGAGTTCTAATGGCTCTTCCAGACCCGCGCGTCTCTCTAGAGACTCACCTTCAACAATCTAGAATCCATTTAACATTTTTTGCACACCACTGCTTTTTTAACTTCACCAACTGAACAGATGCCCAGCTATTCAAATGCAGTGTACCATAGATGTCCACAAAATAAAGAAACATAAATACAGTTCCAGTTAGACCCAGAAATTTCATTTACAGCCTGATATATATATAGTTCACAAAGACCTTTTCATTCTAGTTCTTCAGAAAACATCTATGTAGCTGTGCTTTAGACACTTCGAAATCTATTAGAACCTACAATAAAATGGCTTTTCGATCTCTAAAGAACAATATAGTGAACTCAAGACCCCATGCAAAGAACCACTGAAGAACCGTAGCCTATTAAACATGTTCTTCAATGTATTTAGCCAAATATTTACATGCAAAATGCATTTAAAATGATTCCTCAAAGCGCCAAAGCGTCACAGAAGGTTTCATGGTTTGTGTAAACAGATTACATGATTTTGTGCAAGATAAATAACGAGATGCTCTTACCATGAGCGTCACCATCCTCGGCCATTGCGTTGATTTTCTTGTTGGCCAGAACTTGCACGTGCTTGCCGCTGGTTCGACTGTAAAGCTGGTAGGTCCTGATTAGTCTACGGCTGACCCGGTCCGTCACCTTACTTTGATCACTCACATGCTGTGTAAAATTAGGCGGGGACTGAATGGTTACCTGTCAGAAATTAAATACCATATAATCAATACCTGCACAAACTGCTTCATCATTCGTTCATGCGGGCCTATAAATTACACTGCGCTCCAATATAATCATTTAAAATAGGCCTAATGCAATCGAAATGAGAAAACGTGTCCGTAACGTATTAATTTTTAATTTGGGATTTTAGAAAACGAAACGCGCTATTAGGAAAACTGTCGTTTGTGGCTTAAAATAAATTACATTGCAAGCCAAACTGTCCTAAACGCTTAAGTCGAGCCCTTTATGTTATTATGTCTCCACGACATGTTTCATCACTGACTCAAGGCTGGCATACTTCACGCGCTCATGCCCACGCGCCTGTGCCAGTATGTTAGTGTTACCTGCCAGGTTACAGCGCCCACTGTGATACCCATCTGATAAGAACATCCTCTCCCATCGCACTTTTAGAGCCTTTCAATTTAACGGCTATAGCTACGTGCATTTCTATGCAAAACAACGGTATATTTAAATAAAACATAAATCTTAATTTAGGAGCTATATTATTTAGGCTGAGTATGGAATTGATATATTAGAGTAATAGTGCTTTACAGTTCCTCTAACAATACGTGTAGGTAAATTAAAATAAGCAGCATTTAATAAAATGGCAGTAAAAAGCATATTAAAAGATGTTGCACATACCTGAGCATAGTAGCAAAACGCAAAGAGGTGAAGGAATCTGCAAGAAGAGAGAAAATCTCACATTAGACTCTGGAAAGCGAAGCTGTTAATGTGTGAAAACAAATAATAAAGGAAATATACTTACAGATAACTCAATCGTGATGGTATGAGCCTCATGTTGCTGGAATGGAAGGGCCTCGCAGAAAAAAAAATGTGTGTAGCCTAATTTGCAAAGATGTAAAAAGACAAAAATCAGGTTTTCCCGATGAAATAAATGTATAAAGTCCTGCGCTGGTATCCAAACTGTGACTCGCAACATATGATGAACAGATCAACTGGCAAATTACGAGATCTGCTGCTCGGAGGCAGAAACAATGTCCAGACTGACACCGGTGACAAGTATAAGCACTAACTGGATTTCCTTCATAAGAACGAGAATAACAAATAAGTGCACTTAACGCAAAACTCACAGCATGTAAACGATTTACTTTTCAAGTTTTAGCGAAAGAGCTTCTGATGCACCTAATCATACAGACTCAAGTCCCGTGCTGTCCATGAAGGTGAGGAGCGCAGCAGAAATAGATCCTTTGACGTTTGATCCAGTCTGACTCCTTCGTGAATGTCAGTCAGAGGAGGCAGGACAGTGCATCTGATGAGCTTTCTTCAAGAAGCAGTGCTGCTGGACTCTCTTATCCCCTCCTCTTCTCCCATTGCCAGTCAGTCTCCAATGTCAACCCCGCTCGCGCTGACACCCCTGGTTAAAATGGTAGGGTTGGTCCTGGAGGAACAAGCCCCCTTTTCAATAGAACAAAAGCAGGGGGGTCTCACCCAAACCCCCACCCTGAACCATTTTTAAATATGCCTTCACCTGAGTCCATAAGCACTCGGAGGAGTTTAGAGGAGCGCGCTTTCATATGCTCGGTTAATAATAAAACGTCAAGTCATTTACAATCATTCATTTAGGACTTTACTGAACAGGCAATAACAAAAAAATCATCTAAATAGAAATATATATTCTCATCCAAACCTACAGTAATCAAACATCAAGTAGCCTAGCTAAAATGAGTGAATTCTGATTTCAAAACTGAAACCGAGGCTATTGTGCAAGGCAGCAGACTGCAGAACTGGTTTGCCGCTGACTTGTGTATTGCAAAAGGAAAGTGTGAGACATATTAAAAGGATTACAGACGATTAGCGTTTTTTTTTCCTCCAAAGAAAAATCCCTAAAACATCAGAAGGATAACACAGGTGTGAAGTGTCCCATTTTTTTGTCTAGCACTGACAATGCACTTTAAACTCACATAAAAGTCTGTAAGAATCTGTCATTAAATGGCATAGGCTACATTTGATACTAAATCAGGCATAATACTAAATTACAACTGATCTGAAATGTAATTTAAATACATTTAATGTTAACTAAATACATACTTCAAATATTAGCCTAAATAAAAAACGTGAGATGTGCCAAAATTACGAAGCAAACAATTAGTCAAGCAAAGAAAAAGATCAAGTCGATCAATCTATTTCTAATCCGGACCAATTAAACGTCAAAATAAATCAGCCCCACCCTCCATTATGTTACTTTTCAAAAACCGACATCAGAGTAGATTCTGATGGCCCACCATCACTCAAGAGAGTGCTTTTTAAACGGGTTAAATGCCTTATTGCTCACGCCCGTCAAATGAAATGTTGAAGATGAAAGGGTCAGTATCTACAAGTGAAACTTATTTCATCAGCAATTCATTAAAATGTCACCAACAAATGGCATGATATTAGACCGCTTGTAATAATGCTTTCTGTGTGCGCTGTCACCACAAACACCTTCTCTTTATGTGAATAAATGGACTACGAAAAACTCCACTAAGCACTAATTTGAGGAATATGAGCTGTGGAATATCCCATGCAACAATACTTTGTTCCACAGGAGGGCGTCACTCAAAACTTTTGCAGGTGTAAGGTACAATCTATAGCCTATATATTCATAAATTGTTTAAGGTCGACCAGGAAATAACAATTGTGAACTAACAACGTTTTATGTATTTCTATATTTGTTTCCAGTTTGATTTGCTTTTTAGTCATTTCAAATGTTTCCAGTGTGTTTTTAAAATATTTTGAAGAAAAATTGATTAGCCTACTTCAATGAATTCAAGCAGAAAATTTTAAACTGTTGTTTTCTATTAGTCTTAAAAGTAGGTAAATAGATAAGAAAAGCAACACTCTTTGTATTTGACCTTAATTTACACAGTTTCGAGATTAATAGTGGATTTCTAAACTAATTTGTGGCAGATAAATAATGGAATATTACTATATGAAAGTTTGAGTTACAGATGTTAAAATGTTACAACACAAGCGCTCTCCCTATTCTACATGACTAATGAGATTGAATAAGGGATTCTAATTATATTTATGTAAATCATATTAAACATACCTTTGAATAAATAGACAAACAGCAAAATGTTGTTCCATAAACAATGCATTTTATTGATAAGCTCTAATGTCTTATTAGTACAAATTATTAGCCTTATGTCATATGTGCATGTCCATTTAGCCAATCAACAATTCTCTGAAGTTTTGTTTTCATGTTAATTTGTGAGCAATTGTGATGAGCAATTGATCTGTGCAGTAGAATTCAAATACCCGGTGATATCTCTGCTTTTAAAGGAAATACTTCCTCATGCTTTCTTCTGGTACTTGGGAAGGTCTTGGGACATGACATGTTTTCGTTCTTTCTTTTTTGTATACATTGGGCTTGGTGTTTAAGTGGAGCGATATTAATGGAGCATTGAAAAGTCAACCATCTCATTCCATGGCTGAGTACTTCAGCACAGCCTGAGGCAGAACTGGGCTCCTGGTTAACTTTGTGTCTAACTGTCTGTTGCTCATTGCCTAATCAACTGCAAGATGACTAATCTGCAGATGAGCTGCTGTCAACACACACATTTGCACAAAAACATAAACACCTGAATACACAAGAACAGAGCTAAAGGAGAAAAGATGCATTTTTGCAGAAGGATTTACAATAAATATATCAGAATATCTCTCTTAAGTGTAGCATGGATTTCATTTGAGACTTTTCAATGCAGTAATCACTATTAAACAAGCACAAGATCATGCTAATTCATTCTAAATTAGATTTAAATGTCCCTAATGCAAGGCTTCTGCCAACAATTTGGTCGATAGCTATCTTCTGGTTTTAAATATTCAATGGAAATGGCATTTTTGATTAGTTTTATATGACCAAACATTTCTAAAAGTGATTCGGCCCTTAAAAATTGATCTCTTTTGATGGATTGGACCTGTAAAGAGAGAAAGAAAAGAGAGAGAGGCAGATATGTGGAGGTTGGAATGGTACTCCTGGAAAGCACATAGCTCTCCGGAAGTGTTGACAACCATGTCTGATGTGGGCAAGGTGCCAGAGTGGAATTACTGGAATAACTGACATTTTTTAGACCTGATGGCAGTTGTACATTCTTTTCTGTCATTGTTACTTGTGTATTTCCATGCATTAAATGCATTTTTTTTTTACTGAGAAAATAAGTAAAAAGAAATATAAAAATATAAAGAGAATAGTAAAGTTAGGAAATATAAAGGGATAGTTCACACTGAAATGAAAATTTTATCATTATTTACTCACCCTCATGTTGTTCCAAACCTGTATGACTTTCTTCATTTTGTGGAATAGAAAAGAATATATTTTGAGAAATCTCTCTGTTTTTTTAAATGCATATTTATAAATTTCATAGTAAAATTAATCAGAAAATATATTTAAAATATAAAATATATTTAACTTTTGTTTTTTTCTGTCTTTAAGTGTTTCTTTTTTTAATTTGACAGGTGACATTACTAGTTACTCAAGTCAATTTTTTTAACTTACAGTATTTTTAATTCTACAAATAGATATAGTATTTTTTTCTTCATAATTTGTTGATACGATCTATTATATATATACATATATATATATATATATATATATATATATATATATATATGTATGTATATATTTTTATTTTATATACATTAATACATTCAGTTAACTTCTGTATAATACCCCTTATGGTGCCAACTGTCCTAGTGTTAAGAACATTTAAAAAAATCTAAAGAACCTTTTGTGGAATGGAAAGGTTCCAAGAATGTTAAAGATTCTTCATCGATGCCAATACAGAACCTTTATGATATATATATATATATATATATATATATGTATTTATATGTATGTATATAATGTCTTTTTAAATACATTTTGTATCAGTTTTTGTTATATTGTAAATGTATTTTTCTAGTCATTACTTGTTTTGTGTATAATGTTTTCACAACACTGTATGTAAGCACAATCATGCCAATAAAGTACTTTTAAACTGGAATTGAATGAGAGAGAGAGAGAAAATGAGAGAAATTATAAAAAGTCGAAGAAGGAGGGAAAGAAAAAGCAGAGAAGAGAGAGGGAGAAGAGCAGGGGGCTGGGCCAGAGGACCCCTGTGGTGGTTGGGATGGCTGTCGATGCTCCTGGGGTTAAGAGGAGGGCAGGCAGGCCCTGTGCCTGGCTGCAGGGAGTAGGCTGCCTGCTGGGTGCCTCTGGGGCCTGATGGCTCTTCCAGAGGGCCCAGAGAAGAGCGCAGGAGGGGCAGAGCGGCGGATGAGAGACTCCCTGTACTGGAACCCCGTGCTTGTCAATCCGCCCTGCTTTCAACCTTGTCACTGATGACGCCTGTCTCGCCTCAGCCCTCGCCACGGTAACACACGACAGCCCTGCTTACAGTTAAGATTCATCACAGAGCAGGCCAAGAAACCCAGCAAGACAAAACACACCCCAGGGAAGAACACTCATTTGAGTACCAATACCACTCAGCGGTGATTGAGAGGTGGCAGCATTGTTCTCACTTTTAAAGTGTCTTTTCAGAGGGACTCAGGGTGATGGACAGGCGTCACAGCAACACACACTGGCAGAACAAACCCAGAGTGAGGGACATGTTAATTGGAGGGAGGGAAGGAAATGGATAAGCAAACACACTAATGGTGAGGAACCTCGACAGCAGAGCCACAGATTAGTTCAGTATGCAAAGAATGTAATTGGCCCAACACCAGCTAATGACCTCCAAAGACTAATGTCATAGTGATCGCATGCGACACAGACTGTCACATATGTTTGCATTTGTGTCGATGGGCTCGAACCGCACAAGGTGGTTAAAGCGCAAATACACAATCAACCCCCCCGGCATATATCGATGGCTCATTATCTTATCATACCACCATGAAGGCTCTTTAAACAGTCCTGCTGAAAAGGGAGGAGAAGTCTATAATATGGGATATGATTGAAGCAAAAACAAATCACGAATAATGTAAAATTAGTGCAACTTTTTTAATGACATTAAAACTTGTTGAGCAAAATCGCATGTTATTTAAAACTCAACCAAAGCTGCCCACC